TTGGACGCCACCCGGAACAGGCGCGGCACCAGCTCCGCCAGCTCCAGCCCCAGGTCCTGCGCCATGCGGCCCACGAAGGTGCCGTGTTTGGCCTCCTCGGAGACGGAGTAGTGGACCTGCCCGCTCCCCGCCTTCCAGGCTGTGAGGAGCTGAAGCAAGAGCAGCAGACGCCGCGCTCCTGGGCCTCCTCGCCAGGAAAACAGCATGGTACACTCTAAAGGCTTCGGAGAGAACTGAAGTATATAGAATACCTTACCTCAAACTGCCTCTCAATGTCCAATTTTATGGCCTTTTATTGCGGGAGGATTCGCTAGAGGTTTTCCACTATCTGCCAAATTTTCTGCAGGAAGGAAGAAGCGGATGTGCTTTCTTCGGGTAGCGTTCTCAGTGAAGAGCGACACCATGCGCATGAATGTGTAAGTGTAAAAATGACTGTCTTCGCCTTGTCCGTTGATGTAGGGTTTTTTTTCTTGCACTTCGTGACGTTTTTCACTGCATATACATAATTCCAGATTAAATATTTTTCTTTCCAGAAACAATAAATCACTGTATTCTGATCAGTACTGGATGCTAACTGACAGTTGGTTGATGAGTTCCTTTTTTCCACAAATATATTTTTGCACTTGTAAAACTTCCATGCAGAATTTGACAAGAGGGAGAATATTGTAAATTCACTTTTGGAAATAAGTCTCTAGTTCTGCATAGCTTTGTAGATTTTGTTGGGAATGTCCTTTTCCTGTAATATTTTTTGAGACCTGCTCACACAACTGCTATTGATTCCAAAAGGAAACAGAACCACAAAGAATAAAATGAATGAACGTGGAAAATATTGGTAAGTGAAATACCAGATTTAAATAAATACACCATATTTATAAATTACCCCAAATGTAACTGTGAAATGTGGATAAAGTATTTGTATTTGAAGGAGGTATCCGATGTGTGTATGAGTTTGTATGTGAGTGTGAATGTGCATAAACACAACAATTTAGACCATTTAGATATAACAATGTTTTAAAATTCTGGATTCTCTTTGTATAAAACATGCCAAGAACTAACATCCTATGTATTTGATAGAATTTAGGTTAGTACCAATAGGTTAAACTTCCCTCTCTCTCTCCCCATTTTACACTATCACTGGGGAAAACCTTACTACTATTTAAGTTGACTCTGATTTTCCAAGCAACAACAGGTAGACACAGATGTTAACACATCTTTAGCAAGGAAGAGAGGAAGGGAATCCTACTTTTACCTATCGCTATAACTATCCTTACCAAGCCACAAAGTTCCAGGCCAAATAGTGCTATGAAAGATATAGCATAGCTCCAATAATTCTCTTGCCTGTTCTGTGCACAACTTGCAGGAAATAATAGTTGAGTTCATTTCTGTATCTTTGCTCCCCTCTGAAAATTTGAGTAGAGTATTTGGTACTCTCTTACCCTCATCCTCCTCCACTGCTCCATTACTTTTATTAAAATAGCTTTACTCCTATAATGGGAATAGCTCCTTGATTCTTTCTAATTGTTCTTGTCAATCAGGCCCTACCTTGTCTCACTTACCTCTCCACCTAACGTAGACTACATAGTCAACCATTTAAAACATGCCCTTCCAGACACCCTAGAAGCACTCACCTACTTATATTACTTCTCTAACATTTTCTTTAGCTTCCAACACACAGCCTAACTATCCATTTTCTCCATTCCTCCTATTGAGTTTCTCAGTATAAGGTAGTCACTTAACCATGATGACTATATTCTCTACAAATTTACTCCCACCTTTACCTCGATTGGGCCCTTAAATGAATTCATAATTAACTCTTCTCTCTTGCCTACAGAGATTCTTCCATACTCTCTTCCCTCTCTTCTCAAATTCCCAATCTCATTTCTACCACCTGATTCTCAGATGATTTACCCAGGGAGATAAGTCATCAAATATGAACTCAATGGTTCTCTTCTTATATCAGTGTTTTTCTTTATATTCTCTATTTTTCATTTCCTACTAAGGAAAAATGGTCCCAACTTTTAAGGCCAACCCTATGCTCTTAAAAAATTATTGTCTATTCTATTCTCCTTCATATTTTTCATTTCATCTTCATTCTTTCTCTGTCTGTCTCATCTTCAGTATCTCCTTTACTTGCTTCTTTCCCACACACTACAAAAACACTCAAGCACCTTTAACAAAAAAATAAACATAAATATACAATATTAAACCTGCTACTTCTGGAAAATAAAAAAAGCCTGTTCTGTTTATCTCCTTCTCTTCACCTCTAATATTTACTTGATATTTTGTACTTTGAATTTTATTTCAGCTGTCTGTTGTCTAACTACCCTATGATTTTAAACCTAGTATAGTAGGTAGAATGGTGACCCCCCCAAAAAAGATACGCCCACATCTTAATCCTTGGAACCTGTGAATATTACTTTATATGGCAAAAGATATGATTAAGTTAAAGATTTTGAGACGAGGAGCTTATCCTGGATTATACAGGTGAGCCCTAAAGTGCAATCACATGTATCTTTATAAAACAAACATATGAAGGAAAAGATAAGAAGAAAAGGAGGCAAGGTGACCATGGAGGCAGAGACCAGAGTGGTGTGGCCACAAGCCAAGGAATGCCAAAAGCCATCAGAAGCTGGAAGAGACAACAGATTCTCCCCTGGAGCTCCAGAGGAAGCACAGCCCTGCCAGCACTTTGATTGTGAGCTTCTGGTCTCCAAAACTGTGAGAGAATAAATTTTTTTCCTTTCTTTTTGCTTTGTGAGGAAGATCAGCCCTGAGCTAACATCTGATGCCAATCCTCCTCTTTTTGCTGAGGAAGATTGGCCCTGGGCTAACATCCGTGCCCGTCTCCCTCTACTTTATATGGGACGCCGCCACAGCATGGCTTGACAAGCAGTGCGTCTGTGCGCGCCCAGGATCAAAACCTGTGAACCCTTCGGTCTGCCGAAGGGAAGCGCACGCACTTAACCGCTGCCCCACCGGGCCGGCCCTGAGAATAAATTTTTGTTGTGTTAAGCCACCCAGTTTTTGGTAAGTTGTTACTGCAGCCCCAGGAACTAACACACCTACCTACCTAAATTCTTTACTTGGACACATTGGTTTTCACTTTACAGTCTCTCTCTGGTGATTTTATAGTTTCATGGATTTATTTTTTTTCCCTAAAAGAATTACTTCCAAATCTACATTAATAATCTCCCTGAGTTCCATATCCACATTTCCAATCACAATGGTATTCTCCAAGAACCTCAAGAGTAACACTTTCTTAAATGTTCCTCTCCATTCCCTAGCTGCACAAACACACAAAAACTGTTTCTCCAACTCTATTCTGCATCTTTGTTAACGACATTCTCATCCCCCCAGGTGACCAAACTCAAAAAGTTAGTGTCATCTTCTATTTTTGTCTTTCTCCTATAATTTGTATTGAGTCATTCATTATCTGGCTGCTTCTACTTTGCCAACACCTCTTGTACATGTTTATTTCAATCCATCTCAACTGTCATAATATGCCTCCATTACTTGATACCTGAAGTATTATAAAAGATTCTTTACTAGCTTTCCTACCTTCAGAATCTCTCCTACTCCAATCCTTCAAGTACACATTCACTAGAGCAAACTCTGCTCATTTATTTATACTTATCTCTCCTCCTGTAATACCTTCCTGTAGAAATGTTATCTATCCTTCAAGGCACTCTTTAATAAACATTGTCTCATCTCTGGAGCCCACCACCACTTCTAACATGGAGGGAATTGCTCAGACAGTTTATTTAAATACCATATATTTGTTCAAAAATTATTGTTTGAACATATGCTATATTCCCTGTTCTAAACTAGAGATATGTGAGAGAGTAGTAAGCAAAAGGCAGGAAAGTTTAATGCCCTCACTACCACGCTGAGGGATTTAAGGCTTTATTCTCTGGTCAAAGAGAAGCCTCTGCATATTTTTGTGGAAGAAAGTTACAAGATGTAAAATGCACTTGAGACGATTCACCTGATAACAGTCTCAGAGCAGTAGTATGCTGTAATGGGTTTGGGATCCTCCAAAACTGAGTCTGAGCCACTTCTCACTATGTGACTTAAGCTTCAGGTTTCTCGTCAGTAAAATGACAATAATAAATATTGTGCCTGCACCATGAGCTAATTTGATAATTAAATGAGATAATGCAATTAAAGATCTTAGCACAGGTCCTGGAAAATAATAGGAAATTGATAAGTATTCTTATATTTTATTGAATCAAAAAAATACCATTAATTGTAAGATGCACCATTACTTATGTGCTACTAAGAAAGAAAAACAGCCAATTAAATTATTATAAACCATTAATTATATGATGCATCTTGACTTTATGTGGATATTATATTTTAAATATGAAAAGCTTTTGTTATATTATACGCAAATAAGGATAGTATAATAGCCAATCCCACTTGAAGAAGGCACTACACGTGAACAGTAACAGAAAATTATTCATTTTAGAATTAATAATATAATCTTTATTATTGTTATAATAGCTGGAAGAAGATTGTATGGAAATTAGAATGGTAATCAAGGAGGCTATTTTACAAGCCTATGCACATAAGGAATAGTAAAGGAATCCAGTTGTTAGTACTGGGAACTCTTTGTACTAATCTTGCAAATTTTCTGTAATCATGAAATTAACTTCAAAGTAAAAATAAATTTAAGAGTTATCAAACATCCAGACAGTTTTTACTCTCACGTACTGATATTTTTCAAGGCTAATTCTTCATAGATAATAGGAAAACTAAAAGAACAAGACAATTTTAAAGTGCGGTGATCCACAGCCTCCATTTCATCTATATATCTCCTTCATTAATACTTGAAAAGTTGGGCAAATACATGAAAAGTTCAAAATGACTAAGAATGATCATGCTACAGAAGACATATTCGATGGTTTAAAGGATAACATTATGAAGAAAAAAATAAAAAAGACGATGCATTTATATCCTAACACAAAGTTTTTAAAGGAAACAAATATACTTAAATGATATCAATGACTTACTTCACTGGAAGGATTTAAACAATCTTCTCGTGACTGTGAAAGACAAGGACTGAAGGCCATGAGGTCGGTCTTGGGCGGCCCCTCCCCAGAGCACACCCTCTGCCTCCTCTGCTGTGAATACGACCAGCTCTCCACCGCGCTGGAACACACCAGCGTGGGCTTCCCCGGCCCGCACGCGCCCTCGGTGGGCGGCGCCGAGCACCTCAGCACCATGCACAGCAGCAGCGTGAGCACCAACAGGCTGGACACAGCGCAGATGGCGATGATCAGGTACACGTTGACGTCCACCAGAGCCGTCTCCGCGGCGCCCACCGACGTACGTGACGAGGCCTTCGGCGCCTGGCCGCTCTCCACCAGCGACAG